CATCTTCCTCTCCCCCTTGCCGATTCTGAGATCCGCTCAGGAGGTGTCTGAACCCTGAGCCTGTTTCTTGCGCACTGGCCCAGACCAGGGGACGTCTGCAGCATTAGTCAGCACCTCCTCAGTGTTGACCTCTGCATCTTGGTGACCAGCTTTGCCTGGCGTAATTGAATTCAGCCTGTTAATTTCCACCCTGAAGCTACTGTTCTGTCTTGCCTCAATTGAGTGCCTGAATTCAATTCAAAGAATTTAAATAATGCATGCATCTCTTTCTCTGCGCAAGAACCCTTTGCTCCTGCTTTGCTGCTAATGGCCTGGAGAGAAGGAAGAAGAACTGGAGGGAGTTCATTAGGTTTAAATTGCTTGCAGTTCTCCTGGGGGAGGGGCGCCCAGCGCAGAGGGACCTGTGCTCCTCCGGCCACGGCCCTGCGCGTGTCTTAATGAATCTTGGCGTACCACGGAAGCAGCTAAGTTTCAGGATTTGCGCTGCTTTCCTGGGTTTCTCATGTATGGTACCAGACTTCCTGTTTCCTAGGCTTCCCCTCCACCTCCAGCCCACACCCGCTTTTCTCAAGAGAGCAACATTCCAAAAAAGAGGAGGCAGGTTTAACCAGGCCTGTCGGTTTCCGCGTAGACATAGCTCCCTGCTTGTGCTTTACGCCCCTTTGCCTATCTCTCTGGCATGGATTGAGATGGGAGGACCCCCAGTAGAAGAACTGGATTTGCAATTCCGATGTTGGGTTTCGGGTTTATTGGCTTTTATTGCAAACCCCTTCGAGAGAGGAGACTGGCTTGGCTTCATTGGTCTTCATCTGTCCCTTCTGGCACCATTTCTGTAACTTCCTTCAACCGCATTCACACGATGCCGATGCCAAACAGACTAGAAACCAAAGCTTTCTTCTTTGTTTTAAGGAATCAACCTCTCTTTTTAAGCCCTGGAGCAGAGGCTCTCTAATTTTGAACCCTCTGGCACTCCCCTATTTATGTGCTCTCCCTCAAGTGTCCTGCTTTGTTCGTCATCTTCTTTGTTTTAAGGAATCAACCTCTCTTTTTAAGCCCTGGAGCAGAGGCTCTCTAATTTTGAACCCTCTGGCACTCCCCTGGGACTTGGCCTCCACCTAGATTTTCTTTGAAAAGCCTGGGCTGGTCAGGAAACAGAAACAAGCTCTTCTGAAAGCCCACCTCCATCAGTGGCTTTGAGGAGCAGAGAGAACAATCAGCGCTATTTATGTGCTCTCCCTCAAGTGTCCTGCTTTGTTCGTCATCTAGTTGCGTTGCTTCTCAGCCACTTTCCTCAATGGCAAATGCTTCCAGCCCAATTCCATGCACTGGATGAGTTTGGTCCAGAAACCCCAAAACCTCATGAATGAGGTGGGGACAAATTCTTCTTTTGAAGGGCTTCCCAGCCCTGATTTGGAATGTTACAGTGGAGGGATTGGCATGGTTCTTTGGAGATTCCATCCCACGCTCTTTAGTGTTATGAAAACCTCTGTGATTCTTACAGAAACTTCTCCAGGCAAGTGGCTTCCATGTGTGTGGAGATTTCATGATCTGTAGATCCCTCATTTTGGAATGCCCCCAGGGCTGTTGTACCGGTATTAAGTAACTACTTGAGTGGGGTTCAGTTAACTTGGATGCACCTGGGAAGATCTCAGATCAAGGTGAGCTGGGCTGATGGTTCTGGAGGAAGACCATTCAGACTTCAGACCCCAGGTTGTTGAGGTTCCTTGGACCTTCTCCAAGCAACCTCCCTCTGGTTGCTGGGCTGCCTTTCGTGATGAGCAGGGATTTTCAGCAATGTCTATTACTGCTTTTCTGAAGAGGATTCTGAAGGTCCCAAACAAAAAGAGTTCATTCATCAGAAGAGAGGCAATATTGGATGGAATTTTCCTTACAACAAAGCTCACTCAGTGATGTGGCTTTGGTTTTGTTAGCCCCAAGAATAAACAGGAAAGAAAGTCATGATTCTCCATGAACTGTGATGTAATGGACCTCTCCCCGCAGCCAAGGCCTGGCTTGCTAACTTCAAATCAATGTTGGAAATTGGCTCTTTGCTGCCCCACATTTCCTCCTTATGTAGTGTGGACATGGGCCAAACCAAAAGGAGGAAGGGAAAGGACAACCAACCTCAGTCAGCTGGTCTGTGTTCCAAGGTGATGTACCAAAATCTGCACTTTGAGATCTTTTTCTTCGTGGATGTCTGGAATCTCCATTCTCCCCAAATTGGCTTTCTAGTGGGGTGAAAGCTCCAAGGGAATTAATGTGCCAAGGTTCCTGCTTATGTGGCCTGGCCAACCTCCATCCTCCAGGTCCTCTGGGGATATTAACAGCCTTTGGATGGGTGTGTTTTAATAGAACAGCGGCCAACAGTTGCTTTGCTGAGTTGAATCTCCTCTCCCTCCCTGCACTGAGGGAACCAAAGCATTTCCCAGCCACGTTTGATCCAGGTCGCAGGGAAGTTGCTGCCTTGAAATCCTCTGCAGGATGAAAGCCACTGTTACCAACCCTCTGCTCCTCTTGGTAGGCCAATATATTAACCTTCAAAGTCCTGAAAGGCTTAGGTGCAGGATACCACAGGGACCAGCTCCTTCTCTATCAACTTTGCCCGTACCCAAAGTTTCTTCTCTTTGTCCAGTTTTGTTAGGTTAATCTTTGGATCTCCTCCTCCTCCTTCTTCTTCTGCCTTTAAGTGATGTCAACTTCACCTGGGGTTTAATCATTGTCAGCCACCTTGACTGAGCCCCGTGGAAGGGAATCTCACTCAATCAACATTCAGATGGAGAACTGGAGGAAGCCTGCTTGCTGTGTCAATAAAGAAAACCCAGTCAATCACATTGGGCAAATGGGAGCACCCGATACCATTAACTAAGCGAGAAACACATGTCTAGAAAGTATTTGGCATTATTGGTCTCTGGTCAAGGTAGGTTTTGCAAAACCTGAGCATCCCCAATAGTTTTGTGACTTAGACTTTAGCTCCTGCATTCTATTAAATTTATAGCGTTTTTAGAAGGGAGCAATTGCCGACAAGGTCTCTTCCATCAAACTTGAAATTACATTAGGCCCACCCGTCTTGTTCTGATTCACTTTAATTGCAGTAAGCTCATTTTCTGTATCCCCTAAGAGAGGCTGGGCCACTGCGCAGATTCCTTTTATATTTAGCAAAATATAGCCTGCCATCGTCAGGAAATGAAGCAGACTGATTCATACAACAACGTGGGCCAAAAATGCTGGCTTATTCTTCTAAGAGGACAAACAGATTATTAAAGGAGCAACAACAGTTATTTTCCACTTTGCCATTCTGGGTGCTCAGCCTTGGCAAACCCAAGCGACGTTTTCTGTTTCTGGAGCCCCAGCCTGGGGGCAGCACCTTCAGCCTGACGGATACCGCAATACCAGTGGCTGGATCCTTTGGACAGCCCCTGTTCCGGAAGATCACGTCCCACGGGGGGTCCTCAAGGGCGTACTCTTGCAATGTACTCCGTGGACCGGTCCTGGGAGCGGCAGCAAGCAGGAAATGCCTTGGCCAGGCGTGGAAAGCAGGCCACCAGCTGGAAAAGTCCTCTTCTTCTGAAGCGACAGCAGCTCCCTGTAGGCTGCTCAGCTAAATTCTGTTCATCTGTACTGACACCGAAAGCCCCTTATAAATTCAGTTTATAAGTACCGACAGCAAAAGCATATCTGACAGCTTTATTGGGTAAGGACCTGCTCAGCAGTGACCATCCACTTGACGTAACGAGAGGATGTGCAAACACATCTTGGTCTTATTAAAGTTTTCTTTAAAAAATAATGATGGGAACAGCTCTGAGGAATGGACTTTTCCTTTGGAAAAAGAGCGCAGTGGGACTTCTCTCATCCAGATACAGCCTGTTTTCAGAAACTTTAAGGAGATGGAGATGCGTTTGCACAACTCTTTCCATGTTTTGGGTCTCTCTGTGCTTTTTCCAGAGCTCCTGATGGTCACTCGGCCCACGGGAAGCAGCCAGAACGCGGACGGAAGGGCGAGGAGCTGACCGATGAGGAGAAGGAAATCATCAACCGTGTCATTGCGAGAGCCGAGAAGATGGAGGAGATGGAGCAGGAGCGCATCAGGTGAGGCGGAGAGAGGTGAATTCTCGCTTCCATCTAGGGGAGAAAAGAAAAGCTCCAGTGAATTTGTCAGACTAGGCAAGTGTATTTTAATTCAGATTTAGATCATGGTGAATTCATGTAGCACCAATCCTCTGAGGACGATGGGAATTGTAGCTTGGCTCCTCTGGAGGGTGCCCGGTTGTGGTGGGCACCTCCTTTATTGGCACCCTCAGCAGACCCCTTGTCCCCTGCAGAGCAGGGATGTGCCCCTGTTCACCAGAGGTGGCGCTGAAGGGCAGCGCAGGGCAGGGCGTGCGCCCCAAGGAACTCCGAACTCTTGGCATGCAGCCGATTCGGCATTCCTTAGTGCCCTTCTGTCTCCAACCCCACCCAGGCCAGGAGCCCCCTCCTCCAAGAAACGGGTACTCCGGGGGGCAGTTTCTGGTGCAGCTTTGTCGTTTCTTTCCTTATTGTGGGATTTTGGGTGTCTGGAGCAGCTCTAGAGGAGGAGGAGGAGGCAGATGCCACGGACAAGATCACATTAGTAGGTTTAGCCGCCAGGGCTGTGCGATCTTGGAAAGGTTTTCCAGAGGTTTTTTCTTCTTTAATCCCTGCTGCTCTTCACTTATCAGCCCTGTTGAGGGGGAGGCAACCGTTGGCTCAACTTCTTTCCTCTTGGTTACTGCACTGCAGAGGAGGAGGAGGAGGCAGATGCCACGGACAAGATCACATTAGTAGGTTTAGCCGCCAGGGCTGTGCGATCTTGGAAAGGTTTTCCAGAGGTTTTTTCTTCTTTAATCCCTGCTGCTCTTCACTTATCAGCCCTGTTGAGGGGGAGGAAACCGTTGGCTCAACTTCTTTCCTCTTGGTTACTGCACTGCACCATTTCTTACTAGGAGAAGACAAGAAGAAAACGTTTCTCGCTAGGAAGCTGTTTACAGCCGCTGCTGTATGCAAAGTGTCAGGGGAGGAAGGATCCAGCTTTGGGGGGGGGTGACATTTCCCATGTTGGTAACGTCGTATACATTGGACAGTGCTGCCTTTGAGGTACATTTGACTTCCACATTTGGTCTTCGGGCCCTGCCTTAAGTGGGTCACTCAGGCTGGGCAAGTAGCAGAAGGCCTTTTGAGCTCTCCGAGACTCGGGCAAGGAGGGAAAAGAGGGTGCCGGCGAGAGGGGGAGACATGGGGCTGGTGTTTATAACCTGGTTGGAATTCCGGTTCCCACCTATGCAGTCCCCCACACCTGGGACGTTGCAATCATTCGCGTTTCAGAAAGTTCAGACTTTTTGCTAGCTGTACCCCGCTTGGCAGGGTGCAGAGGGTGTTCTTTGCACGCTCTTGCTCTCTCCCCCAATACTTCTGCCTTGCTGGCCTCGAGGATCCTCCCTTCCGCCTTGCGTCTTTGGCTGAATTGCCCCCGGAGACAAAGAGAATTGGTTAGACATGCAGGGCTCCAGCGGGTCTTGGAAGTGTGCTGCTGAGCCTGGAAGCTTATGAAGACCACCCTGTGTTGCTGTTATGAATATTATTATCATGATATTCTGGCTCTGAGGTGGGGGTGAGGATACAGGGTAGATCAGGTGGCATAGCAGCAGATCGGGCTTAGCGATTGTATTTATTTGAAGAGTCCCCCTCCCTGCCAAAAAGGTTTCCCCAGTGGTTTGTAAATCCCCTTCCTCAGGGGGGAGAGAAGAGGGGGGAAAGACAAGCTCTGGCAGCAGTTTTTATGTTAAGGGTGAAAAACCGGGATGGCCACGCTCTTGGTATCAAGAAGGAATTGTTTGTTGCCCACCAGGCACACGCAGGAGAGTACCTGAAACAGGCGATCCCTCGGGAGAAGGGAGGGAGGGGCGAGCGTTTTAAGCCAGCATTTTTCTCCCACCCTGGAATACTCAACTAAAGTCAAATCGCTCAGCTCACCAGCATTCGGCACAAAACTGTTTTTGTAGTTCCGATCCTTTAAAGAAGCTGGGCTGTCGCTGGGTATTCCTTTGTTTTATGCTACGCTTGAAAAAGGGCGAAGAGAATTATGGAGAAGCTAGGACCTCTGATTTCTGGAAGTCTCCCCCCCCACCCCACCGGATCTTCCAAATCTGGTAGCTGGTGCCCCCTTTCATCAGCATTCACAGCAGTTTAGCCGAAACAGTAAGGGCCAGAACCTTCCTTTTGTCTTCCCATTTAAGTAGAAGCTGGCACTTCTGATAAGCTGAATTCTGCACCAGGGCTACAGCAGGTGCACGGCCTGGATCGAACGATTTTGCACCGTTGCAGCCACCTGCTGATATTCATCTTCCTCTGAGCAGAAAAGAAAGTAAAGCCTGGGCTGCTGGAAACGGTGCACCCTCCCCACTCAGTCCAAATGGTTTCCTGAGTAAACGGTTGTTTGTTAGCAGGAGATTTGGCCCTAAAGGCCTCTGATTCAGGAGAGGAAGGAAAGAATTGGATGGACTCTCCCATCTTTCCCAAGCAGGCCCAAGCCACATGGGTAATTGCACTGAAAGGCAACGCGGCTTTCCATGGAAACTGCCCGTGCTTCTTGCTGAACTCACTGGCCTTCCCTCTCGCTATTAGAGCAATGGCGCCAGTGAAACTGAATCTCTGCAACAGCCCTCTTGGCCCAAAATGCTCCCCCCGAGACTCCAGGTCTGCAGTGCTAACTTGCTGGAGAAAACAGCCCAGTTTTGTTTCGTTTTTCTTCCTCTGGAAGGGAAACAGCTGAAGGCAGCAAGGCGGGCGTGATTAGAAGCATCGTCTCCCACAGGTGAACCAGCGCGTCCAAATGCGGAGGCTGTCAGCTCTAGCGATTCATGTGTCTTGTCTCCGACTCTTTTCCTCCTTACCGGCAGTAGGGAAAAAAGGGAAGTAGCAGTGGGAAGAGTCAGGAGGAGAGCAAATTATCTGGGGCCGATAAAAATGGGTCCTGGGGCTGCCCTCTGAAGTCATCATCTGCACCATAGTAATTAAAGAATGAGGATGGGGGGTCTAAAAGCCTTTCTTACTCCTCAGAGGTAGCTCAGCCTGGCTTGCTTGTCCCCTGACACCGAACGTGCTGTCCCGTCTTTGGTTCTGCGTGTGAGGGCTTGTCAGTTGTGGCTTCCTTGAGAAACCATAACTAAGCAAACCACAGCTTAACATGATGTGCATGCCAGATCTGAATGTGTGCGCTCTCCCCGGAGAAATATTATGGCTTGCAAAAGATGGCAGGAGAAATACTGAAATCTTCAGTCAATCTCTCTCGCTGTGATCAGTCAACCAGATTGCTTGTCTAAAAAGGCGCATCTCAGCCAACAAACACCCCGAAGGGAGGCTTTCTCTGCCAGCCTAAACAACAGACGATGTTGCCTAGCTTTTGGCAGGCGGAAAGAAAGGGGGGCTTTTAAGGGGGCTGGCTTGGCTTGCCTGAGGTCTGGACTTTCGCAACTTTCCTGCATCCCTAGTAGTTGGGCCAAAGAGAAAAGCTCAGGGTGGCCACAGTTGATCATAGGACCAAAACGAACCGAAGCTGAGCTGAGATTTGCAAGATCACAGGCTGTTTATGAAATCTGGCTTGGCTCAGTCCAGAACTGCAGGAGGAGGAGAAAGAACGCCCTGCCAGCATCTGTCAGGATGGATTTGATTTGATTTGGGGGTTGGAGAAGCTTCGTTCTGGCTTGAGATTTGCTAGTCTCTGGGGTGTGTGAACTTGGTTCCTGGGAGGTCTTTTTAACCTCTTTGGGCGAGCTGCAGGCAGGAAATATTTGCTTGTACTGGGCATTTGGCTTGCGTGGTTACACTGGCATTTAAAATTTCTATTTGATACCTGCTTTGGGCTTTTTTAAAATCATAATAACCCGGATACAGAACCTAACCAGCAAGAATACGGTAAAGCTAATTTAAAAAAAAAACAAACAGGTGCCTGTTTAGAGGCCCTCTGATTTATCGGTTATACTTCTCACAAAGTTGGAAAATGGGCCAGACCGGTCGCCCTCCCAAAGAAGCATTGGGCTTCCTGCCCCATAATGATGCCTCTAAAATTCTGCGCTGGCTCGGTGAGATCTGGGTCACCCCACACGGGGCGGCTATGAAATTTCCTGTGGGACCGATGTTCTGAAAAATCCCTGTGGCTGACAGCTCCCTCTCCTTGGAAGAGAATAAATAATACATGATGTTTTACTGCACACGCTGTTTTTGTCTCTCTCGGATTTCAGGCAGCCCCCGTCCCAGGCCGGATTCAGACCTTGCTGCGTGGGGAGGGGGTGTTGAGCCCAGCCTCCTGCCCATCCCACCACCCCTCCTCACATTCCCTGCTGCTAAGCAGTGGGGTCAGTGCCGTGGAAGAGGGGTCTTGCTTTGCTCAGCTGTCCGGGGCGTGTGAGGTTGGCTGCTGAACGGAATATCACAAGTCTGTCGCCTAAGTTGAGCTGGCCTTCCTTGCTGGTTGTAACTGCTGAGACTTTAAGCCAGTGTTCCTCGAAGTTGAAGTCCACCGGTCTTAAAGTTGCCCAGGTTGAGAAACACTGCTTTAAGCAGACAGCATTGGCAAACGGCACTGGGAATTTCCACATGGACTCTATAAAACGCCATCAAGACCTTTCTCTGTCTCGCTGAATCTGTGCCCGCCCCTCCTTTACTTTCCCCCGGCTCAGCTTGCCTTGGAAACTGGGGCATCCTCTCATCCCCCTTGAAGCGCCTGGCAGGGGTATCTGCCCACGCCTCACTTGCCAGCAGACGGCCGCGATGTCTTAACTCCAGGCTGGGGGTCTCTGGGTCTCACGCGGTGTCCCTCCGTTTAGGCGCCTCATGAACCATCTAGAGGACATGCGCCGGAACAGGGTGGGCGACGGAGTGAACCGCTGCATCCTGTGCGGGGAACAGCTGGGCCGCCCGGGCTCCGCCTGCGTGGTGTGCGAAGACTGCAGAAAGGTGAGGGGGGCCCTCCGTCTCCCCCGCGGCCTTTCTTGCCCACCTGCACAGGTTGCATTGGCTGCCGAAGGGGCCTTGCCTTTGGCGTCAGCTCCCACGCAGAGACTCCGCTCTCGGCCGAGGGCGAGATTCCTTCTTTTCTGCATTCCCTGCGTTTTTTAAAACTTATTTTTCCATCAGTCTGAACGGAACGGGAGGCGGCCGGTGGCGTCTCCGTTGCGTGCGTGAGTAGTGAAGCTCTCCTCTGGACACGCCACTCTGGGGACACGGTGCCCTTTCCAGTGCAACCTGTGGGGGGCGTGCGGGGGGACGGGCAGGGCTCTCTGTTCAGGACAGCCACTGTCTTCGGATCCTTCTGTTCCCTTGCAGAACGTCTGCACCAAATGCGGGACCCAGACCACCAACAATCGCCCCCACTCCATCTGGTTGTGCAAGATTTGCATCGAACAAAGAGAGGTCAGGCCGGAAATGCACCGTGCCGCTGATACGCCTCCCGCCCCCTAAGCCAGGCGCAGATTTTCCACCTTTTGGGAAAGTTGGGAATCTGCGCCCTTTGGGAGGCAAAGCAGGAGCTGAGCTATGGGGAACAGCTCGTGCCTTCCGCCTGCCTTCCTCCTCTAATCCAGCAGCGGGCACCCCTTTTCAGGCTGAAGGCTGCCCTTGAGCTATGGGGGGCCTGGGGCCTGGGGCCTGGAGGAGGGGGCCAGAGGAGAAATACCCGCTTCCAGGCCACGCAGGGAATGCCTGCAGAGTTTGTAAAAGAATTAGAGCTCAGCACAGCACCTTTTGAAGGGCAGTGCAGGGGTCCGAAGGTCCTTTGAGGCCCCGGAAGCGGCCCGCACAAGTTGAGGGTTGTCCCCTCCTTGATCGCATCCCTTCCATCCGGGCTCCCTCCTCTCGGCTGTCCAGGTATGGAAGCGCTCTGGCGCGTGGTTCTTCAAGGGCTTGCCCAAGCAGACGCTTCCCCAGCCTATGCCCATCAGCAAGGAGAAGCCCCAGCCGGCCCCCAGCAGACCAGCGCTGCCCGCACAGGAGCTGGCACCGTATCCTCGCCAGCAGTCCCACGGTGAGCCTGACGGTTTTGCAGCCGGGCTTGGGACGGGTTGCGGTGGAGAGGAATTCATGCCAGCGTAATCCACCCCCTCACCCTTTCTCTCTCAGAAACGTCTCCACCTTTAAGGAATGGGCAGCGTAAGCTGCGCCCATAGCGTAGACGAGAGAATTTATTTTTATTTGGAAGAGGTCTGGTCTGGTCTGATAGGGGGGCCTGGGAGCAACTTGCATATCCACTGTTGGCAGGTGAAGGGGCGGCTCTGCTTCCTTCTACTGAACTTGCCGTCCTTTTTAAAGGTCTGGGTACCCTTTTAGCAATTAAGAGAGAGTGTGGATGGAGAGGCAGAAGGCGAAGAGAGCAGCCAGAAGCCGGCCGCCCTGGCGTCAAATCCCCTTCGCCTTTCGGAGGACGCGGGGCTCAGCTTTGTCACCATGAGCTGAACAGAGCCGTCCACCCAGCGAGGTGCCCCCTGGGAGGCTGGCAAATAGATCACGCTCTGTAACCTATCCCCAGAGAATAGGGTTTTTTGGGGGGGGTGTCTCAGAAACCAGAGGTGTCTTTGGAAGCAAATTTTGGCGCCCCGTAATAACGCCTGCTCCGCCTTGGTTGCCGAAGGGTTCAAAAGGCACCTCTGTCCTCCTCTATTTGGTAGCATCTTTTTGGCATCTCTAGACTCGCCCTGACTGGAGCGGTTGATAAATTCACAAATAAAAGAAAATTAAACGGGTAATCATCCACCCATTTCCTGCTTCAGTGACCTGATCTCCTTTTTCTCCCCAAGACCAAGGCGCAGCTGCTCCCTCGGCCGAACAAGGGTTTTACGGTAAGGTTTCTGTTCCTTGCCTTTCTGGGGATTCGTTTTTTGGACCGGTTTCGGTGTGCTCCAGCCGGACACCCACCCTCCCGCCTCCCCAAACGGTTCTGCAGCTTCTGGATATCCGCTCTGTCCCGCTGCTCGTTGCCCAGAGAGTGCCCAGCAGCCCGGCCCGGCCTTGGGTGCCCCCTCCTCAACGCCGCGGTTGTCAGCTGCTCATCCGGAGGAGTTAATCTTGAGTGATTGTCCCATGATTAAAATCTGAATTACTCTGTCAATTGCCTGGAATTGCCAGTCCCCCAGGAACGCCAGGCTGGGCTGGCTGATTGACGCTGTCGAACGCTCATTAGCTCGCTCCCTACAACAGCTGATCCAGGCAGCCAAAATGGGGTGGGTGGGTGGGTGGGAGGAAGAGAGCCAAGCTTCCATTTTCCTGGGAAAAATAGAAGAAAAATCCTCTTTTCCATCCCAGACAGGCCGGAAGAGTCTTGGCTGGGCTCGACCTGGGAGGAATGAAAGCCAGAATCCGTTGCAAAACGTTGACGTTACTTTCTTCCTTGGTGCTCAACGGCTCAGGGATGAGATCATAGGAAAAAGGCGGGTGGGGAGGAGGGGGGCTGTAATGGTGCGTCCTTCCCTCTGCACTGCAATGTTTTGTTGCAGGTCCCGCTTACAGGAAGTCGGTATCAGGGCTGTGCAGCGGTATCCTCAGGGGGTCAGAAAAGTCAAGATGGTGGCTACAATCACGCAGTCAAAGCCCTGCTCTTTTTCACATGTGTCACACCCCTGGTTGTCCCTGTCCCCGGTTTATTTGAGGGAGCAATTGCGGAAAACTGCAAGGGTACCTGGAGGTTCGTGGCTGTTTCATTTTCTCTCTCCCTTTCTTCGCTGAGCCAGCAGCATCAGCTTCGAATCGGGGAAATTACCCGCCGCTTCACCGCAAAGCTTCCGAGGCCAGGATGGCACCGAGCGGCAGCGAATACGCCAGAGACGCCCGGCCGAGCCAGGATTATCCTGCTGAAAGTGAGGTCACTCGAAGCCCTGGAGGTGAGTGGGCAGGCGAAGGAAAACGAAGGCGTTTGTGTAAGAACGTACGTACGTGCGAGAGCCCGGCTGTTCCGCTGGCAGCCCTGCGTCCGGGCATAGCTGTGCTGAGAGAGGGAGAGAAAGTAAGGACGAAAAATCTCTTGGGAGCCTGGAGGGGAGGCTCCCTGGCACAACCCTGCATGGCCCAATGTTCTGGCATCTGGCTTGGCAGAGGATGGGGTGGGTGGGCATAAAAGGAAGGCATGCCCTGCGTTTCTGGTGCTCCTCATTTTGCGAAGGGCTTCTGGGAGATCCAGCCTTGCCTGTCGTCTTCATGAACTCCAGGGATGGGCAGCTCATACAGAAGAAGCAGTCCCCGAGGGGTCCCTTTCGGCTCGGTGGGGCCAGAAGCACCCAAGTCTGTTGGCATGAATTTAGCTTTGGGAAATTAAGCACCAGACGGAAGGAGCACTGGACAGCAAATGTTTAAAGCAGGGTTTCGCAACCGTGGGAACTTTAAGATGTGTGGACTGCAACTCCCAGAATTCCCTAGCCGGCTATGCTGGCTGGGGAATTCTGGGTGTTGAAGTCCACACATCTTAAAGTTTCCAATGTTGAGAAACCCTGCTTTAAAGGCATCTTGCCGGGAGGGATCCGCTGTGCCTGTGTGACTATACGAGGCTGTTTGGATCTGCTTTTCCCGAACAGCGGGGAAATCTGGCAAGCTCTGCAATGGAAAGAGTGCCTCTGAGAATGTTCCAACTGCCCGTCCTCTCCTTCTCCGTCCTCTTCTTGGGGGACCCGCCCTTATCAGACTCAGTAAGATCCTTTCCGCTGGATCTGTTCTGTTACCTCTTCTCTTTCGTGTTCTTCCTTCTTAGGAGTCAGGCGAGCAAATTCGATCCAAGCCGCCAGCACAAGGGACCCCGCTCTGTCTCCTCACCAGAGTCCATCTGCTCAGGGGGCAGGACAAGGTTCAGTGCTTCGTGCCACGTGCCTAATGCTCAGGAGGGCCCGCGTGGGGAAGGGGTGGAGGGGTCAGCCCATCCCCAGCTTTGGGCCAGTCACGTTCCCGCAGCCCAGCCTATCTCACAAGGTTAAAGCTGATAATATTAGAATGATGTTTTTAAAAATCATTCCAATCTCTAATCACTTCTGCATGGCGGTAGAGCGACCGGGATGTTGAATCCAGACTGATCTTCTACCTGCTGTCTCACCTGGTGTCTTTCCTGACTTGGCCCCCTTCAAATTGTGGGGCGGGGGAGCGCATTATGCCCGTGTGTGTTCACTCCAGCAATTCTCTGCAGCATTTTCTCCTCTGCTTTCACAGGCTCGCTTTCCATGGCTCCCTCCCAGGCGGACCCCAGCTTCTCTGTTCCTGCTGGAGCACCCCGGGAGGAGAGGGCAGGCTCCGAGTACCCCACAGCGGGAGCAGAGAGGCTCCCACGCCAGGTGGCTCCCTACGGCCAAGCCGCTGCTCCGCCTGCTGCCCCTGTGCCCACCCGCCCACCTCCTCCAGAGGAGGACGAAGAGGAGGCCAACAGCTACGACTCTGATGAGACAAGTAGGTCTTTATCCCTGGCCCAGCTCATTCGACCCACCCTCTCCAGAGGCTGGATTCCCAAGGAGCCAAGGGGGATCTTGCAGACGCCGCCAGGAACTGCTGGTCCTATGGGACAGGAGCAGTCGGCAAACCCCGGTGGGAGAAACTGGTGCAGCTCACGCAGGGAGACTCTAGAATTGGCAGACTCGATAGGTGTCGGCTGGCACTTCTCCCCTTCCTATTTTCTCCGCAGTCAGCTCGCCCAGGGGTAGGGAGGAGAAGTTGTTCTCCCTGGGTTGTGCAAATTTACCCAGTTCTGAATTGCAGGCAGGAGCAGGCCTTCTGCAGAGAACTGCGGCCTTTGCAGGATTTTGGCATGGCACCTCACCTCACCCCCCCCCCCCCCCCCCCCCCCCCCCCCCCCGCAAAACAAGCATCCCCGGAAAAGTTGCATTATTAGGCAAAATTCCATAGGAAGTGTTCCATACATTAGTAAAACTATGCATGAACGTGAATGTAAGGGTAAAATCCACCGGAATACATTTCAGTGCATGAAAGTTTATGGAAATTTTCCTGTAATTTTGTTTTGGAAAGTGTGCAACCCTTGGACTGGACAGATTTGCCTGTCTTTACTTGTCCTTCTGCCCTCTGCTGTAACCCCCAGAACCTGACTGCTTCTCAGCCCCATTCCTTCTTCGCTTTAACCAAGCACTCTTCCCATGTTTTTAAGTTTCTGTGGCAACCTTGAGGACCAGTGGCTTACTTTTCTGACACAAATGTGGCTTGGCTTGAGAATCTGACGTTCCCTGGTTTTGGGATGAAGACAAAGATCCCCGTACCCCCTTCGCCATCTCTTGTCACGCTATTATATTCCTATAGTGTGCTCGATTTACCTTGGCCCACAAACAAGGTCTTTTTTAGATGCTGACGGTGGTGATCCTTGGAGGTTCAGGTTGGCTTCCCAGGACCTACTAAGTGCTTTTAGTACCTGGTAAATAAATAATGGGGGAGGCACTGATTGAACGAGTCCATTTCTCGGCCTTGTGGAAGATAACAGCCCTCCCGCCTCCCTCCCAAACAGCCCGCTTTGCACTGGAAGTTTTGAATTATTCATCTGGGACGGCAGAACCCGGTGGCATCTGCCTGCTGCTGGAGGCTGTACCCTTTTGCCGAGCGAGGCCTTGGGAGGAACGGTCAGCACTGGAGTTCAGATGCAGAGGCTGTATCTGTATCAAGAGCTGACCGGCTGAACGATGTGATCCTCCCCAGGGTCCATCTGACAAGACCCCCCTTCGCTCAGCCCCTCCAGCCCCAAGCCCAGTTGCAGGGGCTCCTTCACCCTCCCTTTCTCCCTTCTCCTCTTCCTTTCTTCCCCAGTGTGAATCTTTGGGCTAATGAGCGGCTGCCCACATGCGCCCACCCCAACTCTGCCCTCGCAAATGGGCATGCCGTGTGGCCTTTCGATAATGTTCTAAGATCTGCCACTTTAAAAACAAGGGCTCTTTTCTTCTGCCCTCCTCTTCCCTCTTTCCTCAAGTGTCTTGCCTTTTATAATGTAAGCTGAGGGCAGGGTTTTCCTCACTGTTGGTGTTTTCAAACTGGTCGGGGTGTCTTTGGGGCTGAACAGGGAAGACAACTGACCCTTCTCTCCTTTCTCGCAGCTACCCTAGGGGCACTGGACTTCAGCCTCTTGTATGACCAGGAAAACAGCTCTTTGCAATGCGCCATCATTAAGGCCAAGGTATGTCTGCGTTTTCCCCCTCAAGCCCTGTGCTTTGGAAGGGAGGTCAAGCCAGAGAACTGCGAAGTCTTCGCATCCAAAGGAGGTGTAACAGTTGGGACACGGTGTGTTTTAAAACGTGGGTTTAATGACGTGGTTGTTTTATTCATGTGTATTTTGAGGGTCGGTCAGTGGCAGAAAGGTAGGACAGCATTCCAGTTAAATGAGGTTCATATTGTTCCACCTTGGGGTCTGTCCAGTTACCATCCCCCGTGACAGCCATGGTTGTATCGAGGAAACCCTGGATTCTCTGAAGGTTTGCCCACATGTGGGCCAGCTTAGCCGGATGGGAAGGGCAGCGAGAGACCACAAGAAGGAGCAGTGGCACTACGGTGCGGTTGGCAACGGGCTGTTCGCCAGCTCTGGCATTTTTTTCAAACGTTGCGATGCAAAACTCTGCACTTTCAGATGCCTACAAACCCCATCCCTACAGGATGGTCCACCTGACAGGGCCCGAGAGATGGCTGTTCTCAGGGGCTGCCCCCACTCTCTGGAACCCCCCCAGTAAAGTTTCAGTCAGCCTCACGCCTCCTTGTCTTCGGACTTCCACCTTGCACAGGGAGAGGACGTCCGGTGATTGGAAGGCAGAGATGGCATTGGTATCTGTTGGTGTTTATTTCTTTGATTTTTAAATGTTTGTAGGTATTTGGGGCTTCCTGGGGTATTTTTTTATATGTTTAGAGCAGTGTTTCTCAACCTTGGCCATTTTACGACGTGTGGACTTCAACTCCCAGAATTCCCCAGCCAGCATGGCTGG